TGACATCACATCCCTTCTGTTGGGAAGTTAGCTTAGGGATCTGTGAGTGAGAACAGCATCTATTAAAGTAACTCTGCCAAGACCTCACCATGGCCCGGCTTCCCAGGGGGAGGGGGAGGGGAGAGGACGCCCCTCCCTGCTTGGGGCCAGCGTCCAGGTGGAGCTGAGCTGGGTTGAGTGCTGCCTGTGGCCCCTGGGTGCTCCCCAAACTCCTCCCCTCTGTCCTGCTCTGTGTGCCTCAGGCCGGGGTGGGGGCGGGGGGCACACATCTGATTCTACCCAAAAATACGGGTGCAGGTGGCGGCTCAGTCAGCGCAGGCTGCCCCAACAGCCAGAGGAGAGGCCCAAACCACAGACATGTACCTTCGCCGCTGCGGGGACCAAGGTGCCGGCCGGTGGGGTTCTGAGAGGACCCCTTCCCTTGTGTCTGGTCTCCCTATGGTGGAGAGAGAGCAGAGAGATCTGCAGCTGCTTCCTCTTCCTACGAGGGCGCGATCCCAGCCCGAGGCCCGCCCTCATGGCCTCACCTGCCTCTGCTTGTCTCTGATGCTCTCCCCGAGGCCCCACCTGCAAATGCCCTGCCATTGGGGGCTGGGCTCCAACCACGGACTCGGCGGCAGCAGGCCGCACACTTGGCTGCCCGTGGTCTGGCTGCTCCCTCAGCACCTGTGGCTCCAGGAGCTGACCAGGCCTGGAGCCCCGCCCTGGGGAGCCCTCCTCATGCCCTTCACAGCTGTTGGCCAGCACGCTTGCCTCACTCCTGCTCACCCCTCCTCAGTGAGCCCCTGCCCGAGATTAGTCACAAGAGGCCTCGTGAGTTATTAGGGGGGGTCTCGCGGAGAGAGCCTGGGCCTGACAGCTACCTGAGCCTCTGCGGGTGCGGGGGGCTTGTTTCCTTCCTGGGCCTGGGAGCTGACAGCTTCTGGGGACAGCTCTTAATTAAGTCCCTTTGTGTGCAAATCCGTTCGCTGACAGAATGAAAAGACAAAGAGAACCACAAGAAAGTCTTCCAAGAGCGCAGGCTCTGTTGGCCGGCAGGCTGGGGGGCGGCTGCTTGGGAGTCACCCCTCCATGGAGGAGGGGATTGAGGGGCACAGGGTCCGGCCCTGTGCTAGCCCGGGTGAAGGAGGAGGATGACACAGCACTGGGAGCCCAGGATGCAGGCCATGGGGTGGGGAGGGAGGCGATGGAGCTTGGAGATGCCGCGGGCTGGTTTGATGAGACAGTTTGAGGTCAGGAACCTGAGCTGGGCTGGGAGATGCAGTCTGAGGCGCCTGTTGAAAGGAAGCGTGACCTGCATACACCCTCCAGGCTCCCGGGCGAGGGGGGGGCGGGCAGTGGGGCCGGGACAGACTTGAGATGGTACCTGAGTGGCCAGAGGGCTGTGCAGACCCGGTTCGGCGGCTGCCCCGACCTGCCCGGTGGACTCCTGGCCGTTCCCAGCCTGCGGGTGGTTTTTCCCTCCGGAGGGAGCAGAGCGGACCCAGCCCTGTGCCTCCGGCCCCCAGGCCACCGTCCAGGTGATCAGAGCCCAGGTGTGACTAGAAGGGGGCCTGGGACTTCCTGCTGCACCTGCTCTGGGCGCTGGCACCTGCGGGGAGATGGGCTCCGGCTGCAAAGGGCACGTTCGCCCTCTGGTGACCAAACGGTGACATGACGCCGCTGCCAGGCCCGTGCTGGGCGGGTGAAGGGCTGGAGCTGGTGCCTCTGGAAACTGGTTTCTCAGCTGGGGTCCCAGGTCTCGCCTCGCATCGGGGTGAATGTGGACATGGCCCTCAGATGCAGCCGCCACCGTCTTCAGGGTCAGGCCCCTTCGCGGGTAGCCTTCGTCCTCCGAGATTTCACTCCGGGCTCCCCTGGGGGTCTCAGGTCTCCAACCTGCACCCGAGGCCTGGTGTCAGCCCTGCCGCGCGGGGCTCCCTACAGGACACAGGCCTGGGCGGGGGACTGCCCGGGAGGGAGTTTAATGTTCATTTACCTCCCTGAGTGCAAACATGGGCCTCCTGGGGACGGCCCCCCGCAGAGCCAGGCCCTCCGAGGTCGGTGTCCTCGTCTGCCTGGGGACCGCGGGGGAGGCCGCTGTGGGAGGCCTCGGGGTGCCGGTGGGGCCCGGGGCCTGGAACCCCAGTGAGCCCGGCCCTCAGCAGACAGCCGG